TGATATTTCGCTCCTTTACTAATTTGGATAAATCCTCTAATTAATAAAATCATTGCCTACAGGTCATTACTGTAGAAGGAGTTTACTAAGCTAGTTTTGACTAAATAAAACTAAATTTAAACTAGATACTCAAGTCAGATTTAGGAAACAATATTATATTCTTATAGTAGTTTGATATAAAGTCTCTAAGTTAACTAGTTATTGTTAACAGTTTGTCACTGTTAATTATTTAGAAAAATAATAAATTGCTAAAGTTGGCACTGGAAAAAAAAGGAAAAGGGAAATACAATTCAAAGCCTTTCAAAAGATTTTTGCTTTATTTTACAGTTTTCTCTTGAAAAGGATTTGCCTGATTGGAATATTCTTTAAGCTTCATGACATTTGAGAAACTTAACCATTCCTGAAAGTGACTTCAAGAAAAATGTTTGAGAAACTTATCCTTCTACCAATATATAGATTTATTTAATACTACTGGAGTCAGTACTATATTATAGAAGAGTTTGCCTAATTAGGATAAAGAAATCTTTTCAATAACTTTGCCTGATCAGAATAGAAGCTTAAAGATCTTAGCTTTTGCTCAAGAAAGTCTTTTTACCATCTGAGGAATTTAATGAGAAATAGGAGTTGAATCTTCTTTTTCTATCTGTAGCTCACATTTTGATATCATAACTGTTTCCTGGAAATTGAACATATACAATTGAAAGAGAAACTTTTTCTAAAACTTTTTTTCTATATCACTAATAATGTATCAAAACACATGAATATAATCAATAAAGGCTTGTTTACATTTCAAAAACTAATATATTTCATGTTAGCCAATCACTCTTTGGTAAAAATTTGTGCTATCCAAAATTTAGAATCAAACTGAGATAAATAAAATTTCTTAGAAAATCATAAAAATAGGAGCTCTAAGAGAATCAAAATAGTCAAAAAACGAGAAAATAAGCCTTTTTACTACAAAAATTTCTATAAACCTCTTGCTTCAAAGGTTAGAAAGATCTTTAAGTACTTTACAGTTGGTTCTTTTTCCTTTGGAAACTTTTTTGCAATTGATATCAAAGGTGTTACTTGACTTTTTTTGGTCATTAAAAGTCAAGTTTTTGAGTAAAAAGATTTATAGACAATAAAAAAAGGTAGAAGTGACTCTTGAAGTTATGTTTTAAGGAAAATGGTAAGACTTTATTAACAAGAAAGTGTAAAAACTTCTTGTAAATATCTTTTTTGTGTATGATCAAAGGATTAGCGAAAAGAGTTTTTAATATTAAAATTTTATATATTTTAATTAAAAATTAATATAATTTATATTTTTATAACCAAAAGTTAATGTTTTTATAATTAAAAATCAACCTGACTTATATTCCTACTTTTGTTCTTATCAACTACTTTAGGGATCCATTTTTACTTATACTATATAAAAAATTTACTCCATATTTGTTAAATAAACTTTTGATCATATACAAATTAATATTATTAAACTTTTGTTAATAACTTCTCACGATAATCAATATATTGTTATAGCCATTGAATATTTTATTAAGTGGCTTGAAACCAAAGCTCTCAAAGATATTAAAGTTAATACTATTTCAAAATTTATATATAAGAATATTATATATCAATATTAATATTCTAAAGTTCTTTTATCTGATCAAGAAATACTTTTTTTTTTTTTTTTTAACCCGCAATTATATCACAATGGCATGTCTTTATTGAAAATTTAAATGAATTTACAATATTTTACAGACTTTCACAAAATGACTAACTCATCTTCATATAAAAGTATCCTAAGTCAGATTTTGGGGACAATATTTCACTCCCCTAATAGATTGGTAATAATCTCTATCTATCAGGATTATTGCCAACAGTTTGTCACTATAGATTGCCTAAAAATCAATGAATTACTAAATTAAAAAGTGAAAGGGGAAAAAAAAGAATTGAGGAAAGGGGACAATTCAAGGCCCACCAAAAAAATCCAAAAATAAAAACAACCTCTTCTCAAAAGAGATCTGCCTGATTGGGATAGTCTTCTTGCTTCACTTGAACCTCAGAAGAAAAAGTTTTTTCAATTAATACCATATTATAAATTATATATTATATTATAGTTTGTATTATTCATAATTTATAAATATAACTTCAATTCAAAAAAATTTATATATAAGTTTATCAATTTTTTTACTTTATTATTGATAAATAGTTGCCAAATTTTTAATGGATGGTTAATAAATTTTTAATAAATAGTTTTGATGAATAATGTCAAATTTTTAACAAATAGTTTTAATGAATAGTTATTAAATTATAGTTAATGAATTAATTATTTGATGAATTGTTAATGAATTTTTTGACAAATTATTAATAAATTATGAATATATCAATTTTATAATATTTATAGTCAAATTATATAGTTGACAATTTATTTATATTATTTTTTGCTAAATATTATACAAGTGGTGATATAATGAATAATTTTTTTTGACTAGTATATATTAATTCAAAATATAATTTAGAAAATCTTGTTTTTTTTTTTAAGTTTTCAAGTAAATGTTATAAACAACAAATAGATAAGTTATGGTAATTCAAAAATCACAAAATCAATTATTTAAAATTTAAATATTTGAATATTTAAAAATATTAAAAATTAATATTTTAAATAAAAAATAATACTTTAACCATAATCAATGTTTTAATAATTGAATAGAAATAAAACTATGAAATTTAATATATGAATAAGATTAAAAACATAAAAACTTTTAATTAGAAATTCTAAAAAGGTTTAAAGTTACTTATATATTTGATAGAAAAAACAACTGGTCTAAATATATTGAATATAATTATAAATTGAATTAAAACTAGTAACAAATAGATACTGTAGATTTTGTTTTGATCACAACTTATACAAAGAATATCTGCAAACAATAATATTTATAGTTAAAAAGGTTTTCACCTGAATTGTAGATGAAATGACAAATCACTTCCAAAGTTGCACTTAGAATCATAAATTGGCAGAGATGAACAAGTCAGTTGTAGATTTAACTTTAGCATCACATATCCTTAATGTATATGTACAATTTACGATTGTTTAATAAAGCACATATAACTAACCTAATACAGGATTAAAGTTTAAAAAAAAAAACAAATTTAAAATTGCTTGAACACCTTTTAATTTCAATCAATTAATCAATTAGAAATCATTTAATGTAAATACAAAATTTTTTTGAAATTAATACATAATAAAGTAAATTATGAACATTAAGAATCTTTAAATTTTTATTAATTCATTAAACTATCAAGATTTGCATTTAAATTATAGAAATTTGAAAAACCGATGGATTCAAATAATACAAGGGTGTCATCAAAAATGATAAATTAAAATCTCACTGGCGTCAGGAATGTTTAGATTCCGAGGTGGTGTGGTGTGGTGTTCATCACTTAGGTCACTACCGAATGATAAAATGTATTGATCACTCGTCGCTCAACAGTTCCCAATCGTCAACAATTCCATCGCCATTCACAATTAAATCTTTAGACGTCTGTTTACTGTTTTTGCCGACATCATTATTATCGTGAGTACTGACATCATATGACTGAGATGGACCGCCCACGTGTGACTCATCAGTGAGATCCACCAGCGCATCGTATGGGTTCGTGTTGCTAAATGGAGCTGATGAAGGAGTAACCATACGTAAGAAAGTATTAGATCCGTGCAACATTTTGCTTTTCTCGCGCCAAGAAATCTCATATTTTGAGTTAACCCAGCACAGTTCCACCCATGCTGCAATTCCTTTTGATACTAAACTGTCCTTGACAGACTGCTTCACTCTCATCAGTAGGGATTCTAATTCGTCCATGTGAATCGAACCGGCTGATGGTATAATGACTAAATCCTCACCACTGACCCATTTGATATGAAACTTTGACTTTCCAAATAGCGAACCCAACGCACTCTCTAGTTCTTCTTCCGTGGATCCAACAGCTAGCTCTGATAAATACAAAGCATTGATCGGTTGTTTTTGTTTACGCGCAGGTTGTTCGGGAGTCGTCGAAGGAGGCGCTATGATCGATAGCTTACCCTGTTTCGAAAAGACCTGCGAGGGCAATAATGGAGGACTTTACGCGACAAATTGATATTAATAATTATTTCTTTTATGTATAAAAAAAAAAAAAAAAAAATGCTTACACAGCAGAATCAGCTTGTTTTTTCACAATAACGCTTCTGAATGGTTCAACATCAACACTACACGATGACAATCGATAGTGAACACATAATTGATGTATGAATTTTCTATGAGTCGATTTCATCGGCGGGAAATTTAAGGTGGGCTTATTGGACTTCAGGAGAAAATCAGACAACGTATTTTCGATATTTTTAGCCCAATCCTTGTGGATACTATAATATTGTAGTAAATCCTCCTCATATTCAGGAATCGCCTTGATAAGATCTCTACAGGAAACCATGAGAATACATTAATAAAGTGACAGAAAATCAAATTATAATTTTTTCACAATAGCTTACCCCTCATTAATGCGATCACCCAATTCTAGTGCGCTTGCTAATTTACGATTTCTTTCGACCAATGCGCAAGATTCGTTGCACTCCAATTGCCGACCTTTAATTTCTTCAGGATTCTCCGAAGTCGCATTACAAGTCGCTTCTTGGGACAAATGACCGCACTTGCAATTAATTATAATTTTATGTTTACACGGTGTTTCCTCTGGACACCTTGCAGGTGCGTGGCATCTGCATAAATGGTAAAAAGATAAAAAAAAGAGTCATTTTCAGACACACCACTTTAGATTATTCAGTAAAAATCACATTTGGTCCGCTACTCACGTATGTGTGCAAGGATGACCGCAACTTTTACGAGGCTTACCGCAGGTCTGAACACACCTTTGCCCTACAAGACATTCACCAGAATGACATGTTCGCCAACAACGATGACCTTTTAAATAAAATTTAGGGATCGATTAATCCAGCGGCCAAATGAAATGGTCACTTGAGATATTTTAATGAAATTACCTCCACAACTTAAAGGGCGATCACAAACTTTTCCGCAGCTGACATTTGTCTTATGACAGGGAACATTTTTAACGACAGATCTACCACACATGCAAGTTTTATCGTTGACAAGATAGGGGCATGGTGGACAAGGTTCCTCATCAGTATGACACGGGTGTGGAACTGCCGCATGACCACAAGGGGGGATTCGAGTGCATTCATATTTACACTTTGGAACTTTCGTTCCACATGAAATGGGAGGATAAACTTTGGTGCGGCCGCAGTGACATGACAACTCCTCAAAAGACGCCTCCAAACAAGGCATGCAGTGTCCCTCTTTATGACAAAGAAGCTGACAAGTATGGTTACCACATTTTAATAGCTTTCCACATAATAAGGAGCATATATGATTCGCATCATTCTCTTCTTCTTGAGGGATGTCACGTCTCCTATGTTGTTTCTGTTTGACGTTTGCGGAAGGACAACTGAAGGTGATGCAAATGTTAATTATTCTTCATGAATTCGAAAATAAACTTGTGAAGAAATTATTTTTACCATCTCAGATCGCACCGATGTTTTCTGCAATTTTTCAACCCCTTACATATTTTTTCGCACAGTAGTGGAGATTCGTCGGAATTTCCTACAACTTCGGAACATATTTTCTCGAACTCAGTGCTACCGCAACGACACTTGATGTGTACGATGACAGAGCATGGCTTGCAATCTCCTTGATGACACTTATCTGCACACGAGTGACCACAAGATAAAAGTTTTCCACAGGTGTTTTCACACAGAGGAATCTCTTCGGTGCATGAGATTCTTTTACGGCCAAGTAATTCCTCTATAGAGTGTGCACCACAAGGGCAATTTTGAACTCGTGAAGGATCTGTCGGGCATGGTTCTCTTTCCGTTTCACCGGAAATAGGGTGACACATCCTTGTGCAATGGTGTACTCCACATTCTAGTAGCCGTGAACAAACGCGATTGCAAGAAAAGAAACCGGTCCATTCATTTGACTTGCCATTGCAATTCTCATAACAACGAATGCCTACTCCTTCTCCGCACTTTATCTCACATTCTGATTGACCGCAATAACATTTTTGTAATTCTACTATATCGCAATTTGAACATTCCCCATCATGACATTCTTGAGTGCAATAATGTTTACCGCATCCAAGTAGTTTATTGCATGCTGCTCCACACGACCTTTTTACAAAATAATCGGTGTCGGCGCAACGAAGTTGAAATGTCTGGCGGCCACAAAAACAATGTTGAGTTGGGCCCATGGCGAAACATGTACGATCACAAGGACCAGGATGGCACAGCCTTTTTTTTTTTTTAAAAAAAAAAAAATAATAAAAAATAAAGAAATTGTAGTGTTTTAGTAAAAAAAAAAAAAAAAGTACACATCCAGCAATTTAAGGAACATTAAATAAAGTTGATTCTTACTGAGTGCAACCGTGAGGACAATCGCGTTTCCTTCCACAAACCTCTCCACAACTATGGGGCGTGAAATATCTGGAATTTTGTGGATTTTCTCTCTTACCTATTTCAATTATAATCAGACATGTAAATTTGTGATTAAACAAAAGAAACCTCACAATTGACATTTACATACCACAAAAACATTTGTATACCTCGGGAATAATCTCCGATCTGTTCTGACAACCCGGGCAACGCCAGAAACCCGCTCCCTCAAATGACTTTTGTGCCCATTTTTGCGTGCAGGGAAGGTGAAAAACTGCCCAACAAACTCCACAGAACCATGTCTTATCTCGAGGCCTAATAGCTTCACAACATATCATGCATTCGTACGTAGAGGTCGTGAGACCATGTGTTATAGAAGTACGCACGTCTTTGATATCACCGGGAAAAACAAGGGACTTCTTGGAGCGATTGTTATTGCGAGAATTATTTTGATTAGAATTTGAACGTGATGATATCGATGATTCAAGTCTATCCGTCTCTGGTCTCTTTCCTTTCTTATCAGAAATTATCTGTGACCCACTACCTGGATCATTGGGTTGGATATTTCTTGTTCGTTGCGGAGATTGAACCTTCGAAGAATTGTTTGATAGTGATGATTCTGCTACAACATTGTCATCATTCTTTGCTCGACTCAATGCTGAATCCTTGGTGGCTCCTTGATCTTCCTTTGATGAGACGCGAGTACCTCTCCCTCTGGATGACATTCCGTATCTACCATGACGAGGGTTCAGCTCACTATTATTGGGGATGCTATTGCTACCAGTTATCTGAGGTGTGTGAGAATTGACCACCTCGGGACTAATATTTTGAGAATAATAACGATGCCTATTTTGAGAACGATTATGCGGTTTCCGCCCACTCCTAGAAGAATTACTACCATTGTTTTCCTCATTTCTTTGGACGGCATCATCTGTAATATTGATATTCTGTGATTCAGAATTTTTCTTGACGTTATCATTCATATTATCACTTTGTAGGTCATGGGAATGTCTTGACGACCAATTACGTCTTGAATTTGGGATGAAGCGAGAGCCTGATTGTTGTTCAATTCGTCCATCCAGTACATCGTTTGCTTGATCGGAACTTTGACTAAAACTTCCATGTACATTGTCTCTTTTCGGGTAATGCGAGTGTCTTGATGAACCTCTATATTTTGAATTTGAAGAAGCAGACTGAACTGCTGATTGTTCACCCGACTCACCAGGTGAAATGGAACTCATATCTTCTCGATTAATACTTTGTGATCCAGAACTTTGACCGGAATTATTATTTATATTGTCCCCATGTTGCCTTTGTTGATCGCGGAAGTACCTTGATCCTCTGTGTCTCGAAGGTGAAGTAAGGTCTGTTTGTAAGGCTGTTTGTTGTTCGCTTGTTTCATTATGCGAATTGGTCCTTATATTATCTCGATTAGTTCCTTGTGATCGGTCATTGCGGAAGAAGCCTCGGCCACCACGATTACGGTAACGACCCCTTCCTCGGAAAGCAGTATTACTTTGACTCGAAGGATTATTTGGAGCAACCAATCCGCCCTGAATGTCAGGTGGAGATTGATCTGAGTTTGTGACAGCGCTGTTAGATGTGTTATTCGGGGTTTGTGTCATATTAATACTTCGCGTGGATCTTCGCAAACAATTTTTCGTTTGATAAAATCAAACGAACCGTTTTTAATGTATTGTGGGGTGACTATATTTATCATGTTACGTTAAACTGCGCATTCTGCGGTGGCTGTCCGTCTCGGTGACGGAGAATTCATCAGCACGTGCATGGTAGGTCTTATTTTAGTCAATAATTGGCATAATTTCCTTAATTGAGCATATACAGTAACTGCGGCACCTTTGTCACAATACATAGGGTGTGTTCCCCGTGCGTCACTTTGCAGGTGGCGCAGACATCATTACGTAGCGAAATTACTGGTCTTTTATTAATTAATGTCTATCAAAACTTTAAGAGAAAGAATATAAAGGTGAAAGATTTTGATAATTCTTGAATGTTTTTGTAAACCACAAGATTTTTCTTTTACTTTGATATACCAATGAAAATTTTCTTTTTATAAAAATTCTTTCAATAAATTTTTTTATAGTTTATTAATCAATTGAAAACATAAGTACATTTTCATTTGAGCAGCATGATACATACTACAGTTAAACATCAATATCAAATCTAACTAACTCATCATAAGCAATAATAGCCTCTAAGTTTGATCTTGAAAATAATATTTTGTTCCATAGTAGACTTTGGATAAGATTCTCATAGTTCACCATTTTATTGCCAAAGGTTGTCACTGTCAAATGTTTTATCAAGTCACTGAAATACAGAAAACTACAAAAGAATGGGTTAAAAAAAGGAAAAAAATATATTTAAAAATATTTAAGTAGATTACAAGAAAATAAAGAGAAAAAAAAAAAATTAAAAATTTTCAGCTTTCTTCAAAGACTTGCTTTTCAAGACTTCTTCTCAATAAGAAATACCTGATGAAATATTTTTTCTTCTTTTGACTATCTGAAGAACTTATCCATTTTTGATCTTGATTTTCTTCATATATACCATTTAAGAAGAGTTATTAGTATTATCTAGTGAAAGTCTTTTTTCTTGATTTCAATCTTCTTTAGACAATTATTTTTTATTCACCTATAGTTAAAGATGGATTTCTAAAAGGGGAGGTAGAAACAAAAGTCAAATGTCCCTCACTAGGAAAAATTAAAAATTTTAAATTAATAACTATAAAAAAACTATCCATAATTGTTCTTCATTACTTAAATCATTGATTTATAGTATTTCTTAACTTTTGTTTCTATTAAAGTGAAAAGCTATAAATTTTGTCCCTCAAAAAGGGACATAAATAATCTGTGAAATCTTATATGCTAAATATTTTAGGGATTCATCATTATCTATAATAAATGGATGACTTAGGATAGATTCCAGGTTCTTATGTAATCCAGTAGGAATTGAGCCATATTATTTTAGTATGATATCTTTTAACAACTATATATTGTATAACTAAAGAAATTATATTAATAACTATCTTCTATTATTCAAAAAATCAGATTTCTCAACAATCTTTTTGTTATGTAATAGTAAAAGAGTTTTAAAAGAAATAGAAATTTTTGTCAATTATGATGTCCTTCAATAACTTCTGAAAAAATACATTTTCAACTATAATCAAAAGGTTGAAGCTTAATATAAACTAGAAATAGGAATTTTTGTCAATTATGATGTTCTTCAATAACTTCTGAAAAAATACATTCTCAACTATAATCAAAAGGTTGAAGCTTAATATAAACTAGAAATTGATTGATCCATTGTCTAATTATAATAAAAAAGAAATCTTGTTCTTGAACTTTGTTTAATCAGAATAATAAGAAAGAAAGATCTCAACTTGAATAAATAGTAACTTTTTCATTACCTAGGAACTTGTTACTCATATCTTATTGATCTCATAAAATTGATCTATAGGTTAATCCAATTGAAGGAGTAAAACAGAAATGGAGTATCAATCAACTCTTCCTATTATTAATAATATTATCAAAGTATATAAATATATTAATAAAATCTTGTTTTTATTTTGCTACTAATGTGTTTTATATAAAGATGAATTTCTAAAAGAAAAGACAAAAATAAAAATTAAATGTCACTTATTAGAAAACATTAAAATTTTTAAATTAATTACTATAAAAAAACTATATACAATTATTTTTCATTATCCAAAATATTGATTTATAATATTTTCTGACTTTTGTCCTTATTAAAGAGAAAAGCTATGAATTTTGTCCTTCAAAAAGGGACATAAGTAATCTATAAAATTTTATATACTAAATACTTTAGGAACCCATTATTAGTTTCATATTAATTAATTAAAAACCAGGTAATATTGTATTATCAGAAATTCAGGATCAAGCTGATACAACAAATTTCTTTCAAAAAATTTGTGATCCAGACAATCACGATAATTTTGCCATTGTTTTGATGAGGAATTTTTTATGTCAATTTTCCTCC